CGTCCAGGTACGCTGAGCCTTCCCTCGCTTCGCGGTCGGTCGTTTGGAGTCGTACTTGACTGCTAAATAGCTGATATTCAAGGGCCGATTTTTGAACAGTTCTGTGTAGAAGTTTGCACCGGGTATACTATGAGCACCTGGAGATTTAACCTACAGATGAGCAGTGGTCCCAATGGGAACCTGATTAGAAAGAGGTCACCTGATTCTGTTTCCTTAGTAGTGGCTCCGTATTAGCTCTCGTTTTCTCGGAAACGGAGGCCAGGAAAAACTGGAGAGGAAGTTATGAAGATGAGGAGAAGTGGTCGTTAGTTACGACGTCCCATCACCGCCGCCTAGACTGTCCCCTTTCAGTCAAGGTCCAAACTCACCGATTTCGGATATTTATTTATCTTTACCCCTCCACGTGAAGGGCTGTTGACGAGAAGGTAGAAAGAGGCTGTACCTTGCGCCAGGAGCGCGGTAGAAACCATATTTCTCTCCAGCGACTCTCTTTCACGGCGTGCTTTGAGTCCTTTTCCTGTATTCCGATTACCGGTCGGCTCTTCCTAGTAGGGTGCGTGACGGAAGCACCACGCGGCGTCGCACGCGACAATTGCAATGCCGTATGGTTACGATCGGCGCGCTCTCGCGACGGTTTTGTTTTCCCAATAGTGACATTTCGCTGCTATCTTTTCAACGGGACAGTTCATCGTACCTCAATAATATGAGAATAAGTACAGTCTGAGATCAAACTGAAGCGAGCACAATCTGATTCAATAACGCAATGAGTTTATCGCGAGCGTGCGCTCCATTGCAAGCCCGCGGTGTTTGCAGATTGCCGCGCACGCGACGTCGCGTGGTCCTGAAGACCGTCTTCCTTCCTATTATGATCGCCCTGATCTCATTCAGTCAAGACCTATTCTCGATGTCTTACAGGTGCTCACCGAATGCTTTGTGTACTGACACGGAATCAGGCTACGTCTGCCGTTGTAAGCCAGGATTTGTTGACTACTCACCGAATGCACAAAGGTACCTCATTGGGTTACACGTTATTACCACTACGAAAGCGGATCTTTAGTTTCCCTGGGTCTTGTATGTAAGGAGCTGGTGAATGAGTGCTCATCCCCACGTCTCAATGACTGTGACCAGAATGCCATTTGTGTGGACACCGTCGAGGCGTACACCTGTATCTGCCGACCTGGATTCACCGATATGGACGAGTTCAGAAATCCCGGACGACGCTGTCATAAAGGTGAACAGTTGAGAAATATCTTCTAGATTATTCAAAAAAGTTTTTTTCCCTTTTTCAGAGAAGACCAATGACCGTTGTTCCGTTGGCAAGAATGACTGTGACCGGAACGCTCGTTGCACACAAATTGGTAAGCTGACTGGATCAATTTCTGTACAGTGTTTTGAATACCCTTCGTCTAGGTGACGACGACTACACCTGTGCATGCCCTGTGGGCTTCAATGACAAGTCGCCGTCGCTATCTCGTCCAGGGCGGGTATGCATCCCTGTGATACCCGAGTGCGATAACCCAACGCTTGAATGACTGCGACTCACCAGATAGGGCGATTTGTACAGACACTGATGACGGGTACATGTGTAGGTGAGTTCCTTGAAGCTTCTTGCGGAGAACAATTGAAGAAAATTGAAAATGTAGGCACTACTGCAAAGCTGTAGATCTGTTCCAGTGCCGGTTCTCAGGTCACATGACTGCAAAAAAAACTGTTTGGAGAGAATCCACACCCCCATCCCATCAAATCCTTCTTACGTCCCCGTAAAACAGGCAAGACAAAGTGTGGACATAAGCTAGAGAACTCCTGAACCTTGTGCCCAAACAGGCTACCCACCCCACATAGACTGCCGCTCTCTCAGCCACTATCCATTCTACGAGGACAAGAAGAGGTGTGGCCGGGACAGCGACGAGTATTCAAGACTAACCGTACACTTGCTTCTGTGCATTCTGGTCGTTGCATGGGGGGGGGGAGTTCCGCAGCTGCAGTAACGTGCCACTTGTGAGTGAGTGCGCGTTTCGCAGCGGGAATTTTCGGTTGACCCAAAGGCTGCTCCTTGAGGATGGTGTGGGAGTAGTATGGAAACGGCACTCGGGTACCACTATCCTACCCCTGTTCCCGTGCACTTTTGAGTGGAGAAGGTAGTACGCTACTGCAACTGGTTCGCCTCACACATGCCAAAAACCGTCCTGGGGAGTGATTATACAGTTGTCTTCCTGACGAAAGAAAGGCAGAGCATATGTGTAATAGAGGTGAGTCAGCAGAGGAATACGCAGTCGACCCTCTCATTCTTCGCTATGGGCTATAAGTCCGTGGACACGCCCTCTCCATGGGCAGTGATATGCTCTGTTCCTCTTTTGCGAGGATTACGCGCTGGTAAGAAAACAATCAACGGTAAATTGTCCAGTTTTCTTCCAAAGTACTTACAGAAGTTCAGGATCTTCTACCTATACCTCCCTCTTGAAAGAGTGCTCAGGGATCTCACATGCATACATAGACAACTTATTGCCAAGCAATATCTTGCAGAGATCAAAACATGACCATTCTAAAGCATCGCCTCAAAAATTCTGTTGTTGGCCACTCAGTTTATCGAAAAGTTATTGATCCCTGTTCGACTTTGAAATCCTCCTGAATCTCGTTTAGGTGTCGTCAAGGTTTCCTCGACATCTCACCAAGCATCGCTTCAAAGCCAGGAAGACTCTGCAAGCCCTGTACGCCTCGTTTTTGTCCTTCTTAGAATCCTTAGCTGTTCAAGTATATCCTGTTTTCAGTGCAAAACGAGTGTGCCCTGAAGACCGACGACTGCGCTCGGGACGGAGGAATCTGCGAAGACACGCCGGACTCATACATGTGTCGTTGCGCCATCAACTACCTCGACGTTTCTTTCGATAGAGTGAACAGGCCGGGCAGAAAGTGCAAACGATGTGCGTTTCCCTCTTCTGGCACCCTTTTGGGACAAACTAACCCTTGGCATTTCAGTGGTAGACGAATGCGCAACTGGACAGAATGATTGCTCGCGAGAGGCGATCTGTACTGACACAGAGGACAGCT